TTTTTACAAGGGTGCTAACGGCGCTTCAATACAACTACTTCCTCGGAAAAATGAAACACAGGTCACTGACATTTAAGAACTAAATTCTGTGAAGCTGTGAACTTTCTTGTGAACTTAAAGGTTATTCAAAAATGTCATTGACTTTCAATCTTTTTTTTTTTTTTGATTATCTTTTTCACTACAAGAGAAGTTCCGAGACAAGAGCGTGAAACGACTCTTATGAAACTAAAGCGTTCGAAAAACGATACGTAGCCAGCGCGTTTCACGAAACGTAGGCGATATCGTTCCTGCACCCAAAAACATAATATTCTCCTTCCCAAAAAGAAAAAAAAAACGCATTGACGCTTGTCAAAAGGCCTACTCAAGGAAACTGACAAATTTCAGCGTATTTTGGTTTAAATTGATTCTTCCTGAAGAACCTTTATATTTCTAAGTTATAAATATATTTTTTTTTTTTTGTATTCAAGTCCTTGGCGTCGTCGAACTATACTACGACAACCTACGCTTTAGAAATTTTACGGTGTTCTGAAAGCATAAATTGACTTTTCGGAAAGGTGCCTAGGTTTCAGTTTCTCATCGAGGCGCATCTTTATGCAAGCGATTGGCCCTTCATTACCAAACCGCGGAGCGAAACATTATTAATATCACGAAAAAGAACCGAAAAATCAAAGCTTATTTTTTCGATACCCTTAGATCAGCACGGCATTTCATTCAGCAGGCTTGCGTTACCCCTTCATATGTCCTACACAACAGGGAATATTTTTTTTTAACAGCGCGTTTTGGTTGCGGTGAGCAGAATTGCAGGCGCATAGGTAAGTTCTATTAGAAATCAGAAGCTTAAAATTGCGTTCAAACTAGGTGTTTTACTGAAACTTTGTATACCGCTGTGTGTGCCTTGCAGTTTTGTTAAGTGAACTGATGTAGTGGCCTTCGATAATGTCTAGACTGTTTAAAAATAAACATGTCTTAAAAATTATTAATTGAAAAGTTGTCATTCGGAAGTAGTTATTAGATTTATTATCCTTAGTAAGCCCATTGACAAAGACCATACCGGCATCAATTTTACTGTTCTCTGTCGGATGCACGCATTTATTTATTATGCAGCCGGCTTTTCTTTGGTCGACTGGCGGCCATTGATATCCAATCGGGGCTCGGAGGGCGCATTTAGCAAACAGGTATGAAACCACCGGATGTAAGCGGCTTGTCCCAAAAGTAAGCGCTTGACAAGCTTTCAACCCTTCCGTGTGCTGGTAAGCACAGCGTGCAGGGCGCTGGATTTTTTTCTTGTCTCATCAAGATAGCCTACTTGGTGCTCAGTAACATCGCATGCAGATACGAGAAGTCTCCTAGGTAGCCATTTAGTTGATGAAGTGTACCGTGCGCCCCAAGCTTAATGCCGCCACTCGAACACCCGACTTCCGCGGAGCGGCGCTATCCTGGCGGAGGCCGTTTCAGCTGCTCGGTCCTCGTGAAGGCCATTCCCAATCTCCGGACCGGGAGAAGGGGAGGTAACAGGGCCGCCGCTAAGGGCCCTTGACTCTGCGAATCACAGGCTCATATCACCGGAATCGCGTTTTTTTATTAAATTTTTTGTGTGTTTTGTTCGCATTTTAGCAGCGCATTCAAGCTTTCTCCATTGCGATGCACTATCTAAAGTTCTTTGTTATCAATCTTAAAGGCCAAAAAACATGTCCGCGTTCGGTGTCTTCCCGACAGCTGCTGCTCCGCCGTTGAAAACATCAGCTGTTATTTTCTTATTTTCTTTTACCCGAAGTTCCGATTCAAATTTTAGCAAAACAATGTGATCAGAAAAGTAGCTACAAGATCCTTCAAGCTGTTTTTTTTTTTTTATTTTCGCGAGCCGTTTTAGCGTACAATTTTGTTTTGCAGCACCCTGTATATGTGTACATGCGCTGTATATCCCACTCAGATGACAAGCCGTAGCGCTTATTTATCTGCATCTCCTCCGTATACGGGCCAACGCGGGACACAGATTAGACTCGACTGCTGCATCAGTTGTAACCGTGTCACATGTTTTCACTGGCTTAAGACCACTGTCCGCCGAACGCTGACGTAGAACTCATGTACAGTATGAGTCCCATGCTGGCCCTCAGTAGGTTACGGATGACATTCAACACTACTACGGCTTTCTACTATCAATATTCAATTACGGGTTCAGAATTCAGTAGATGCTCCGCCCGTAGGTGTAATGCGTCCCCTGCGAGAGCATCTAATTACGAAAAAAGTAGCACGTCGACTGCTCAGCGACATGGCGACATTGGCGACGTCGGTTTCACGTGCGAGGCGGAGCGAGCCCAAATTGCCGCTTATTGAACGTTACGACATCGTCGTGACTCTGCAAATCTAGTTATTTCGTAAAAGACAAATTTGTGGAAGATGTTCTATCTTCCAGTGTCAGAGTGGACGGCGGGAACATTTTCGTCTGTAGCAATTGTGGAACGAGGCAATTCCAACTCACCCGGTTTACCATGCGAATAATAACAGCGATGAGACTCGACAAGGACGCGAATTTCGAGAATAATTAATGTTGTTTTCAAAGCTTCGTATCAGTAGGTATGTTTTATTTATTAAAGCGAAGAGGGCCATGCTGCCGTTTAGACAGCATGGCCCTGTCGTCACTCCAGCATTTCACTCCGCCTAGCGATTCGATAGGGGTGACTGCAGCGTTGTGACGCGGCTCCCAAATTACCACGAAGAAACGCGCACACCACCGCAATCTAGTGACAAACACTGTCCCAGGTGCGAACGCTAACGAAACAAAATATAGCCATAGCCATAGAAGAAGCGTCCGCAGAAATGTACAGGTGAGGCTTGTGCGATTGCCCCAGTGTTGCTCCGGAGCATTCCGACGTCATTTACACGATTGTTGAATTTTCACATCGTCACGCAAGAGCTACCGCGAAGAAACGGTCACATAGACACGATTTTGCGCTGCGACTTGTATCTGGTGCGAACGCTAAACGTAAGAAAATACGCGATTGGCATCCCTTCCGTCGGTCTCGTTGAGAGAGGCTTACGAGATCGTCCAATCGAAGATCCTGAGCAAGTCGTCTGAAACTAAGTTGGCCTCGAGACGACCGTATTATACTCACATCCTAACACAGAAACAACTGTCCGCAAATGTGAATTCCGGCGCAGCCCTCCGATGTAAACCTGGGTGACGTTGACAAGGCGGCGTCTCTCGGCGGAACTGACGTTGAAAACATCGCTAGTCATACAGACAACCATAGAACGATAGTACGGCAAGCCGTGACGTCACTGATGTCAAGAAATGAATGTGAGCCTTTTGCTAAAGGAGTGATATGAATAACTTTGGGGCGCATTTTCCGCTGAATTCTTAACCTTTAGCCTACTATAAATAGATATCACCATCTATGATATCCTTGCGAGTCTGACGTCAAGAAAATCATAAATAGCTGTGAAATAGTAAATGTATAGAAAAGTATCGCTGCTTTCAACAAGCATGCGAAAGGAATCCATCCTGAAAAGTTATGCATAGTCATCAAACAAACAATGCACCGGTGGTGTTAAAGCGCGCTAAATGAATGGCTGCTGCCTAGTAACCTTACCAGTCTTACAAATATGATACGGAACGTAATATCAGGCTCGCTGTGTTTGCGCGTCTACAGCCCCCCGTGTCGCCGTTTCGTAGGCTTGATTGTCGCTTGTTTGTACTAATAAATTCGATTGCCGACCGAACGCTTTGTCAACACTCTTTTGTTTTGGCAGTCCAAAAGGGTGTTTCCTTCTACGGTATGTGTTAGGGTTATATCCTGCACAGGGGAATGTTAACCAGCGTTTTCGCACTGGCTTCGATGCGCTATCGTGCATTTATCAAATGCACTTGATGGTGAACTGATTCTCATGCTTTGCTCTCGCAGTGAAACGTAGAATAGATCGAAACCCTCACTTGTCCTCTGGTTGTCGTGCTGCGTCATAGACTCCATTTCAGCAAACAGCGAAAAAAAAAACGCATCTGAGGAACCTGGATGCTGGCTGCGCTGACTAAAGCCGGGGAATACAAGTGGGTAAACACTGTTAAGTCCATGGTGAGTTCGGGCTGAAGCATGTGGGCGCCTAGTCTGAGATTAGTGTGTGTGCGCTCGAAGCCCTTATCAAGGCAAGATGCGGCGGGAAAATATTGAGAGCTCGACTTGGTATAGCTATATGAACATAAGTTCAACCAAAGGATTGAGAAAATAGAAAGAGACACCAAGTTCCGGCTCGTGTTTCCGCTACAATTAAACCTGATTGGTTGTTAAGTAAGATTGGAAGGGAGGGGCAGCCGGTGGTTTTCGAAAAAATTTATGCATTATACTGTGTGCGAAGTCAGAACAATATACTGAATCCCACCGTCCTGGTGCAAAATGTATGTACAGTGGACAGTCCGGTAGGTGCAGTGAAGAAGAGACAAGCATGGACTACGCGGTAATCCGGTTCCGGACACAAGGCAATTTATTACGTCATGGTTTTGTCTCACTGTTTGTTGATACTATTGTCATGACGGGCAACGAAAACCATAGGACGAGGGAAGTATACGAAACTTCATATATTTCACCGAGCGAGAAAGGTACGTGCATTCGTTCAACATTTTAGGGATTACATAAATTCGAGGATTACTCAATGTGAAGTGTTTCTTAATAGGATCCTTCTAAACGTTTCTTATAGAGAGATCCCACGCTACAATTTTCAAGTGTTGACATACGAACCCTGATTAACTGTCGAGTGATCTACCAACAGAGTACTATGAGATAGACGTGCACACACGAAAACTTCAAAGGAAATCCTTGACATTCAAGCCTTCGTCCGCTTTCTAATCCATCATCTATGTAGACAGTTGTATGCTTGTTTTTCTTTGCTTGCAACATGTGCAACCGAATAATACCAGTTGAATAGCAGATGTTCCAATGCCTATACTTCCTTATGTCTGAATAGATGATAAAACGAAAGGTTGAATGCTAGTTCGCAAGAGTGAAAATATGAGTTTACACGACTTCGCTGTTGTAATTATCGTCAGCATATTATTCGGTAAGTGAGAATGTTCGTCTAAGTAAGCAGGAGACTAATACCTTGAATGTTTCCGTAATCCAAGCCTGTAATGAGCTTGATTCTTTATAAATCTGGGTTGGTGAAATAATTAAAAATGTAATTTTCAAACCGACGTTTTAGAAAATTCGTTATGAATTTTTCTTTGGAGTAATTTTGTAATCGCTTTACTTTGTAATGAAGTGGCTACAGGAGTAAACTGATTCTTCTAGGCATTTTATTCGCGTGTTACCCCAACTAATTTTACACACTGCCTCCATTTTTCCTATCACGAGTTACAACCTATTTCCACCGATATTTTTACTACAAAAGAGCGAGTGTCACAAGCTAAGAAAGAAATCATTGGACTAAAAAAAACTGAAAGTGAAATTTAGAAACTTTTTGTAGTCAGAACCCGTGCGAAGAACCAAACCGAACTGCATACTGTCAACTAGAAGTTCTACTAAATACAAACTAAGTTGCCTGAATGTTCTAGTTGTAACCACATTGTGTCAAACAAAGCTTCACTTAGGGGTAACTGGCGTTTTTTTTACCCTAATTCAAACACTAGCAAATTAAGGAAACAGTTCGCGCCTCGCTTTAAAAAAGACGTTCCCATTCCCGATAAATCTAACGCAAAGTGAATATAAAAATAACCCTACACAACTTGCCATAAAATAGTCCTCATTTTGGGACGTATAAGAAAAAATCACCACATAAAAAAATGGTTGTCGCCTCAATCAATTGCATAATGATGCATTTTATGATAAACGTGTCCATGGTATGGCTTGTTCCTGAATTTATTTAGTTTTATATGTGGTCCATCTTCGTTTGCTTACATTTAACTTTATATCTACGGAAGTGTTTCTTCCCCAGTAAGATGTGATCGTGTTCGGGGCTACGTTAAATTATTTCTGGCCCCTCAAACAATAACCTGTGCTCCATGGCTATGAACCGTCTTGTTTGCATTCTGTTCACGCTTGAATATTTATTGACTATAAAAGATACCAATTTTGTTTTGCTTTCTGCGAAAAAAGATGACTAAGATATCATAATTCGATCAATAAGTTTTCTTTTTGAAAAGTTCATTTTAGCCATTTACAAAACTGGAAGTTACACTGTACGCTCTTGAAGCCCGATCAGAGGGTTGACTTTCTCTTTCATTTTTTGTCTAGTTATTTTTTAGAAGTTACTCAAACTTTCATTAGAAAACTCGATAAAAGAATAAGGCGTGATCGAGCTTGCAATTAATCGAGAGCAAATCTTTAGGAAAAAGTCATGTTTGCTGTCCAATCGTGTGAGACGCGGAAATATTCAACAACCCTTTTCTCACCCCTGTGTTAAATCTGGATACTTGACTTTTTTATTTACAATTAGAAGTAAAACAATTCATTACTTCAAAAACATACTGACAAAAAAGGAGTGGAATTGTTTGATTTGAATTGACCAGCCTCGAGAAGGGGACCCTCGAGCCCTCGCTGTTCGTAACCACAACAAGGAAAATACATTTTTGTAAAGCGCTTATTAAAAAAAAATATATTGTACAAAGTGAACCACACCGACACACATAATGATTTCCTTTGTGCGGAGTAATACTTCGTGACGCGGAATCTTTCGTGGCTGCCACACGGAGTCTAGCGAGTACGCTCACGGAATGACGCCATTGTTTAGGGCGTCAGCCCCGGTGTTGATCCGGCAAATTTCCAATTTCTGCAAAAAAGAAGCTTCTTTGATTCATTTCATTACAATTGTGTTCTTAAAAAAATGTGATCCTATTCAGAAAAAAGTCACATAAACGGGGGCCATGAAATAGTAATCCTATGAGCTACGGTTACTTTTTTACGTACTTTCCCAACATAATTTACATAGAGTTGTCAAGCAACTAAATAGATAACGATTCGGTCGGGAGTATTTTAATGATGTGCATTTCAGTGACGGGTCAAATACCCTTTAAGAGTAACGGATCAAGAACTGGTTCACTTTGTTCGGAAAGAAGAGTTGCCCTTGAGAACGGAATTTGAGATGACCGTGCCGTTATTGCAGTTACGCCTTGAAAGACAGGAATATTCTTTTTGAATCAGGCAGGGTTGAAAATTTCTGGCTTAGAAAAGCTAGAATGATAACTTGATATTCGCCTAATAAATGAATATGGAACTAAAAACAGAAAAAAACATGAAAGTAAATCTGCGGGTTGTTGTATGAATGTAAATGGTCTTATACATAAGCTGGCAAGTAGTGCACTCTCGTAAGGTAGAAAAATTAACAATCGTATGTGATTCTAAAAAAAAAATATTTGAGACATTAAGGCGCAAACGATCTGATACCCAACATCGGGAAAGTGAAATTATGTTCGTTTTATCGGAAAACGGCTAAACACAATTTTGTTTCATTTGGATACTGAGCTAGCTGCCGAGACATTACGGTAGACCGCGCACAAATAGACAGAACGGACGAGGTAAGAAGACAACAGAAGAGGAGCGCGTACATTACAAAACTTCCTGTAGGCCGACTCTAGCCGTTGGAGCTTTATTTTAAGCTTGCGCCTTGCGCAGTTATGTCAGCTTTCTAACGAATTGAATGGCGCCGCTTCAATTCAAATGCTTTCTTGTAAAACACAGCTGTCGCTCTCCTTTCAGGATTAAATACCGCGAAGTTATGAACTTTAACTTGAATTGAGAGCTTGAACAAAAAATCTATTGAAATGTATTTATAAAATAAAAAGAGAAGACTATGCTTTCTCTTTAGCGAAACGTTCGATGAAAAACCGTTAAACCGTTGTTATGAAACGGAAACATGCGGAGAGACAATACACAGAGAGGGTATTTCTCAAAACATCTACGAAATTGCCTCTAAGAAAAAGAGCATCCCACGCATTGAAAATGATGTCGCATCGATGTCTTCCAAGCAACCTATTCGGGAAAATTAGTAAAATTTTGTGTAATTGGGATTATATAATTTTTCAGTATTTAATTTATTAAGTATATTAATATTATTTCAATTTAAACCGGTCTGGACATTATTGAAGATCGCTACATTAGCATGCTTTAGAAGTATATAAAATAGTATGCAGCACTTTAGGGTGTTTTAAAGAAACAAAAAAAAACTGTTGTAACGCATTTTTAGGTTTCAATTTCCCATCGAACCGCTTTGTTACGCATGCGACTGTGGGCTCTTCTTTGCCAAACCGCGCAGATCATGTGCGTGGCTACGCGCTATTCACATGACGACGAAAACAGAAAAATTAAAGCTTACAATGGGATTATTATTCCAACAGCACTGCGTTTCATTTAGCCGGCTTACATTACACTGCACCACCACGGACAGGTGATACATTTTTGGGGGCTGGACGCCTCGAACGCGGGGAGCAGGATAGTAGACGCAGATGTGCGGTCTGCTAAAAATTCAAATGTAAAAAAAAAACAAAAAAAAAAAAACGATTGCGCTACCCGTAAGGGGAAACCCTGCGCCAGCTGAGATGTGGCGTCGGAGCAGCTAAGGTGTAATTTCGAAACAGACGGACTCAATAAGCGGTAAAAGTGCGAGCGCGCACCATAGAGTCCGCATAAGTGTTTCGTATTAAACCGAGTAACACACCGAACGAAGTTTCCATAGTGTTTTGGAACTTATGAAGGCGTATTAACTAGAGAGCATCTCCTGAACATGCTAACCAATCTTAATGGCCACAAACTAAGACTGCCTCGTGGTAATTAAAGAACACTTCGGAAATCGAGCGCTTAAGTTTGAGATCCAGGAAACGAGGAAACTGTGTGCGTGTACGCATTAATCGTTCCCAATCCTCGGGTGTGGCTGCCTGAACGTCTTAGGCAATTTTCCCGCCTTGGCAATCAATCTGCGACATACGGAACATTATATTTCTCGTAGAATTTTAAGTTATTTTTTATCAAACCAAAGCCCTATTTGCTGGCCCTTCAGTTGAGGGCCTCCACTAGGGTATTGTATCCTAGATATAACTCACTCTGTCTTCCAGCCAACAGCCATCAAAGGCGCTTGTTCCAATACGGCAAGAACGATTGTTAAACTGACAAAAAATACCCTATTTCTGTCGTAGGCATGCCTCCCGCAACCCATAGCGGTCGCGTACAAATATCTCCTCTATGACTCCACACAGCAACTCAGGCAACTATTTCCATGTTAACTCCAAATGGAATTAACATGGAGCGCGCCATTTCAAGCGCTCCGAAAGCGCCCCAAGTGGAGCGCTTTCGGAGCGCTCGAGATCTGCGAGCGGAACTCACCATAATAAGTGCACGGTTTCGGAGGTTTTCTTGAGTGGCTGCAAAGAAATGTTAGTTTGTGCACGACAGTGACGCTTTGAGTATAAAACTGGTTAAGTGCGCACTGTGTTTACACAATATTTACAATATAAACAAAAGTACAGTGCATTCTCTAAAAGTCCGCAGTTGCTGCTTAGGAATCTCTCTCTTTTGCTTTCTCTCTCTAAATCTCTCATCGCCATCTCATATGATCTCATTGCCCTGCCAAGAGGGAGCGCTTGGCAGCTATGTTCGGATCCCGACGGTCTGTGCACCACTAAAGAGAGCGCCCTCCTGCGCCACCCAGTTTCGTGACAAGCTCGTGTCGCAAAAAAGTCGATGTCAGTGGCGTGACGCGAAAATCCATGATTGATCGATAGGTTCATGACGTCACAGCCACATGACCTCGCGCGGGAATCTCAAACAACCAACAACGCTCACGCAAAAAGTGAAGTGACGCGTGGAATGAAAACGATCAAAACATGACATGTTGGAAGAATTAAAGGTCGCCTGATGCTTCAAATGAATCCACTTTATAAAGTAGTTAATTTTCCTAAAATAGAGATGTGAAGAAGTTTAGGCGGGATTCGCTTGCGAGCCGGACACGCCACCGACAAGGCCTCGCAAGGCATGCTTGCACGGCTGTGGAACGAGAGGGAGTTTATATGTTTATAAGTCTCGCCATCGCGTTTCACTCTTAAAGGTGAAGCTGAAGCGTCCTACCGTAATTTTAATTGGTATCCAGAAACTTGCGAGGTGTGTTTTCCCGTGCATTTATTATTTCTCTTAATATTTTTTTTTAAAATTCCCCAGCACTTAAACCTTTCCCCAAAATGAATCCGTTTTAATTCTCCAGCGCTTAAGACTTTCCCCACAATGAATTCGATGATGCAACAGTGAGGATTTCTTTTAACCATTCCAGGAAACAGATGCATCTTTCTTTCTTTTCTTTAACGACGGCTTTGTTTTAATTATTATATCTTGAAAATCAGGTAACTAAATAATGTTCTTGTAGGCTTGATAAGTCTAGAGCATCAATGGTATTAAATGCACGCAGGGTGATCTGAAATGTGCGCTTTCTTAGTGTTTTAGTAATTTTTCTGAGTCACGTGGATTTGTTTTCAAATGTTGGCGAAGTTTAGACCGCCTCAGTATTCGGTGTACTTTGATAATTACGGTGCAATTAGATTTTGATTAAAAGAACGCTTCACATTTGGAGTAGCTTTCCAGGTTTTCGTTCCTTATTCAGTGCATTCAGAGTAACTCGTCCGGATTTAGCTAAGTCAGTTGACAACTTTAATACAAAGTCGTACTTTTGGGGGACGTTTGGATGCATGATTTCTTAAGACAATCTAACGGACGTTGCGAAACGCTCATTGGTCGCCTGCTATTTACAGGAGTTGCAGACAGGGGACAGGCTGAAGAACAGAACGATTTTTCAACACCGGTCGAATGTGGACGGCGCCATATAAGGAATACTGTTTCCGAAAGAATCATGAACGGCACCGACGCAAAACCGGGCAACTGGCCGTGGATGGTGGGGCTGTATACTCGCAACGATACCTTTCATTGCGGCGGCGTTTTAATAAGCGAGCAATTTGTGCTGACCGCTGCGCATTGTTTTCAGTATGTACACACTTCGTCTGTTTTCTTATGATGAAAATTATGTTTGTTACAACCCGTCACAAGTTGTGTAATATATGGCGAACCTTTGTTGCATACAAATGGCCAGTATTTGGAAAGTCTTTTTGACAATTTTTAATAGCATTATTTCGAGATACAAATATCTGTAGATATATATCAAAAACGTTTTGATTTAGTATAGGCATATATTTTAGGTGACTTTTTTCACTTTGAATATTAGGTATTTTCTGACATATTGCTAAGCACGGTGATATCAGGATTTTTAAACCACAAAGAATTCGCACAGCTTCTAAATCTATAAAATTTCAGCATACACGGATGGTTTAGTATGATTTCCCAACTGATATACATTTTCCCGCACGTAAAACGCTTATAACATGTTTTATATGCGTTCATCACGGAAGGACTGAGTAAAGCCGACGCCCGAATAGCCAACAGTAATTGACAACGGCTGCAGAAAAGGATCCCTTTTGTTGCATTTTTACACTGGGAGGAACCCATCTCTAAATACATTATCCGCATGCGGTGTAAAGATTATAATATACGAGACATTGCTAAAATCGTCAAACACGTTTTTTGATATAGATATATGTATGAATTGAACAATTGTTTAGTTTTGAAAGCACGCGGTCAAAACGCCGCTGCTCTGACTCAGGCTTTCGCCGGCGATATGTGCTTGCTCTTTGAGAGGAGCGATGTCATCTTATTAAATCAGTGCTCTTGCATCATAAAAAGATCGAGATACACCTAAGCATTCTCTGAGAGTTGTGAATGCGAAAGCATGCAATCCGCTCCGTCCGCTCCCTTTGTCGTCTGCTGCGTACTTTTCGTCGCAGGTCAGCGCGTGTGCTCCCCTGGGGACCTTGGACGCTCCGTCCCCAGGGGAGCAACGGCGCTCTGATGGACACGCAGCGACATGGGGTGAGCGGTCGTGGAAACTGGCGAGCGCAGCGGCCAATGGGAGCCCTGTTGACGTGCGCCAGCCAATGGAACTGAAGGAAATTAGGTGCCGTTTTCGTGCTTCAAACTGATGACGTCAGCTCACTCCATGAGACAGTTAATGCTTCGGCATTAATATACTCTTAAGGCGCTAAACTGGCAGTGATAACGATGACAGTACCCGAGGTAGCAGAATCAACTAAACATATTTGGAAGAGATAACAGTTTGCAGAAGCACACCTGAGATTAAAATGTGGAAACGGCCCGACCACTCTCGACCACCGCGTTTCCGCGACAAAGCAACACCGCGTAAGGCGATTTCCCGGTTCCGGCTGTGGATTACTATTGCCAATCCTTTCCAGTGCCGACTGTACACACCAGTTGTTCAAGGCACATACATATTCGCCAAAGAGAAATTGCTGAAACATTACACGGGGTTATTTTGTGACAAGGTTTTCCCTGCAAAAGAGAACGCACATAAAATGCAAACGATAACTTTGTGCTATGTCCCGTTTCGTACTTCTTAAGTGCAGTTCCGATAGCCTCCAAAATAGAACTCTATGACGAACAAAGATTGTAGTGTCGTCTAGGATTTCTTTTTTTTAAATTTAGATATCCCTGATGGTTTGACAAAAGAAATTTAATTACTAAATAAGAACTTTACGTCACCACTTACTCCCTGCCTCTCTAATGCTTGAAGCAACAAGAACGCCAGCTTTCTGTCTGCGCGTCTCGGAAGCACAAACAAAACAAGGGCCACAGATTGTTCTGATGAAACAACTCGACGTGACGCCGCAGAACGGAGTGACACAACAGAGAGCGACGCGACGCAGAACGTCAAGGTCACTTGCGTTGATGTTGAGGTCTGCATCCCAGTTCAGGACGACTGTAACTTCTTTATGGTATTGCATCCACTATTATATTTCACTATTCTCTGCTGTAAGCTATTGGTACATAGAGTTTAACCAAACACATTTCTCTTACAGAAAGACATTGCGATATTGAGATTAAAAAGACCTGTAAACTTGACAGATTTCATTCGGCCAATCTGCCTTCCGCAAAACTGCGTCGAACCGCGTTTAGACGTACGCACCTATATTGCAGGCTGGGGCAAAATCGAAGGTAAGCTGTTTTGCTTCGGCTTATTATATTTCCAACCGAATGCTATACAGCTTATACGGACAATCGATGGCCAGCGTTCTTTTTCTGCTTTTTCTGCTTTTTCTTCTCTATAATTTAAGGGCCGCCATCAAAACTTCAAGTGAACTCAGTAATAGCCAATTACAATCATCACACAGTGAACTGTATAGCGCACAAAAAGACAAGGACAGAGAACAAAAAGACGATAGAGACATAGTGAACAATGCTCTTTACTGTTCACTACGTCACCATAACAGATTGCCCAGCTTACCAGCTTTGTTATCAATCACGCTATAGAGTAAAACTTGGTGCTTTACATCACCCAGTCTGAGTAGCTTGGGAAAATTTAGAAGTTGTGGTACTAACAGTTTGCTGCAGTGCACTTTTTATCATAGCAAGCCTGCCGGAGTACGTTATCGTAATCATTGCGTGATGCTGTATTATCGATCATTTTTGTAGACGACGTAACAAAAATTGAACACTTTGTGAAACGTCTGATTTATCTTCAGAAAAACATCTGGAGGCGACGGCGCCGCTTTCATAGAAACGGTCTTGGCTTTTCGTTTCGTTCTATACAAAAATAAGTTTGCATTAACCATGATGACTTTGTACGCCGTGCAACACATATTACTTGGAGTTGTATGTTAGCTAGCGTATTCGCTACAAACGCGAATGAGAAATCGGTAGCTGCACAAATGTGGAGGAGAGACCTCCAAAGTCCGCAGTAATACATAAATTCTTCGATCTAAATGTGATGGTGTATTATCAAAGGGCGAGTAGGCTTAGTGAGGCAAGTTTTAGACAATGGCTTCCATGGTACTGAGCTTATATTCCAATTACCAGCAGAGTCAATTAAACAACCCTCTAGTTGAGGCTTTTCAAGTGGCTCAATAGAGAAGAAAACTGGCGATGGAAGTCAATAGGCCAAATCGACTAAATGTAGTAAAAAATGTCAAATATCCGAAATAATTTCGCTTCAGTGTACCGAGCATTTAGAACAATTTGCAACTTCTAAACATTTGATTAAGTAACACTGCCACGATGCAATAAAATTTTCCATGACATGCGAAAAGTCTGCAATTCTCAATTCGCTCGGCATAACTCTTCGAATTAGGCGCCAACCAGAAATAAAATTATTACTATTTACTGCAGGGAATTTGAAACTGCTACTTTGCCTGTAATGACCTACCGTATTGTCAAATAAATAAAAATGCTGATTGAAATTCAGTACTCGTTTCAGGAGTTACGGTTCTTCAACAACCTGGGCGCGAGCTTTTTTTTCCCTCACATAAATTGATATGATGCTTTGAAGAGTTAAATATGTTTTGCCAAATTCGAGATTATTTTGTTCGTTGTCACCGGGGAACTCGAGAATTGAAGTAAGGGTAGTGACACTGCGTTCAGGAACACACTTTCTAGTTATTTATTTAAAACAAAATGTAAAAAAACTACACCTGACCTCCCCTATCCCCGTCGGAACTCGAATCCCCAAGCCACCCAGATTATGATTCCTTAGAACAGCTATTAGAACTACTGCGTCCACAGGCACATCCTCCCAGAAGCAGCGTGTCTCGGTTTACGATCTAACTATGTGAACGGTTATGCTTAATAACATTACTGGAAATTCACTATTTCACACCGAATATATTATGGACTTCGGTGGAACAGCTTGTAGTCTATATCATTTGTGACTCGTTTATTGTTGTGTTTTAAGGCGACAAGCGAAGCAGGGTATGTGGCTTCCGAGCTCGCAGACTTGTGGTGTCTTACTTACGTAACATGCCTCACAGTCCTAGATGGGGACTCCAGTTTTTTTTTTTTTTTTTGTCGTGACTGATAAGAAATATGATGTCATTACCGATTGAACTGTGAGGGACCACCAGTATGGTAACGGGAGGTGTGGGTTAAAACTTTGTATATAAAGAACCACTGAAACATAATTGGCGGAGAGGATATTGACAAGAGGAAATGTCTTTTTCTTCTACCGCCTTTTGACTGCAGAGTCCAATGAATGTTTCAATTGTTTTAATCATTCAATTAATAAATAATTAATTACTGGTTCTCTTGATATATATTTTTAAGAACAAGTTGCATACTTACCATTAACAGAAAGTAGGCATCTACTAATTACTGAGTAACTCGCTTATATTCGCTTCAAATAATAGTTTTTTTATTCCTATTTACGGCCAAATATATCGCAAAACATACGAACATACAACAATCAGATATTCTAGGTGTCACCTATGATGCAAATATTAATTTCATAAATCTATCTAGTGGTTGAAGACTCGTACGAGTATGACTACGAAAGCTATGAAGACTCCGAAGAAGGAGGAGATGACGAAATTTCAGCGGAAGAAGAAATAAGCGAAAGGTCACCTTCAGGACCAGCAGTAATGGTGAAAGATGACCAAACACACACGCTGAAAGAAAGAGAGATTTGCCTTATTACTAAGGAGGAATGCGAACACCAACTTAACAGAACTGTACCGGACTATACCGTATGCTCCACTGGAGGAACATGTCGAGTGAGTAGAAATAGCTATAGTACAATTTTGTGTTAAACGATCAGTACCCACCGCGCACGGGATCGAACCGGGACCGGTTTCGTGCGATGGCGCAGCTATTTCGCTATTTTTCCCTCCCGCTGTCTGCAAGGCTTTGGAAAGTAAGGGGACCTTTTCTCCCCTGTTATCGAATTTCTTCACTGATGAGAGGACAACGAGAGGGACGGGCTTCACTTGTCCCACCTCCTGCGCGAACTTCCTGCCTTCGACAACGCTTCGCCGTCCCGTAGACCTAGAGCGTGCTCGCACGTCGAAGAAACGGCGAAAGGCAACGACCGCCTGCTAGACGCTGGGCGCTCTAAAGACACGCCATGCCGTTCTCACCTCGTCAGGGACTACACTCTAAAAAAAGTTTGTGCGTCCACTTTCACGCAGAACACTCGGAGAGCCAATCACCACAACTTACGGAGGCAGCTCAGCGAATGACAATGCCGAAACATATGTTAAGACCTAAAAACGCAGTGTGAGTTGTGACATTAAGCTAGGCAAAACGTCACGGTTGCACAGCTTAATGTCAAAACTCAGACTGCGTTTTTTGGCCAAAACATATGTTTCGGCATTGTCATTCGCTGAGCTCCCTCTGTAAGTTTCGGAGATTGGCTCTCCAAGAATGTTGTGCGGGGAAGCAGACGCACGGGCCTTTTTTAGAGTGCATGCTCCGAGAAACTGAGGGAGAGGGGGAGGCTACGGCGCGCGGACACGTCAGAACGCCGACCTCTGGTTCGTAGAAATAGTGGGCAGACTTTTGCGTCCACCGCGTTCGCCGAAAGCGTTTGAACGCGGAAGCCAGACGCCCGACGCCGGCGTTCTGTTGCCCTCCTCCCCTCGCCTTTTCCTCTTTTCCTTCCAAGAGGAGGAGGCGAGGGTACGCAAGACGAGGGGCTGGAGGCAATAGCCCCCCAACTCTACACACCCCGCCCAAAAATTTTCTTTCCGCCCATAAACCGCCGACCGCGTCCCCGGAACCCCGGACTTTGGTCCATCCCACAGCGCCACAGGGCGCCCGCAGTTCGGGGGCGGTTCGGGGGCGGTTCGGGGCGGTTCGGGGCCGCTGCAATACCTTTTAGGGAGGAGGAGGAGGGAAGGGGAGGGGGGGGGGGGGCCGGGTTCATATCACGTAAAGCCACTGTATTCGCAAAAGTAGCGACATCCTTTGAAGAATGCCGCCTGCTATCTTGGAGCGATCCAGGCGGCGCTAACGTCGATGCGCGAGCGCGAAAGAGCAAAATATAACAAAAAGAGTGTGCATAAGGGAGGAGGAGAAAGAAGAAGTGCCTATTCTGTCGGAGTGCAGTGCATGCTATAAGCTCATGTCGCCAATCAAATAATGCCGACTGTGCAACGTCACGGCTTTCATCGTCTTTCTTTGAGCACATCCTTCGCGGCTGGTAGACCGTGACAGTGCGCTTTTATCCTGTGTGTAGGCATTTGCGTGTTTTTCAGCCTTTGACTGCGCTCTGATTCAAGTATAAACCAAGTATAGGAAGGCCGTTTGCTATCTTGGAGCGATCTAGACGGCGCCACCGTCGACGCGCGGGTGTAAAAGACCAAAACAGAAAGGTAAAAGGTGTGCGCGTGAAAGGAGATGATGTCGCTACCTTTTTTATTTAGGGGCATTAGTATCACGGGCAGGCGAGAACCGATAGTTCTCCCAAAGGAGTGAGCGGGACACGTTTTTAGGAGTCAGCCGCGGGCCTACAGATGACTGCACTCCTTGATGCGCCGACATAAACCAAATCCCCCCTCCCCTCCCCCGCCTTCCTTTTCCGGAATAAACTTGGTTGTGAAAAAGATAAGCGATGGTAAAGAACGTTGGGGGCGTGTGCCACCCCTTGTAGGCCACTCGGACTCCGCCTGTGTGTGGGTATGGCAGCCCAAGTGGTTCCGACAACACCCCCCCCCCCCCCTTTCCTACCTTTCCCCGCACCCAAACAGTTTTCTTTCTCTCCTTGGGACATGTTTCGTGCGAGTATTCGCCTCGAGAATGAACTAAAGCTTACGCTACTGTGGCGCTATCATCATCAGCACTGTGTGGATAGGAAGATGGCTGTCCCATAGGCTATCTGCGGGCACGGCCAAGAACCTGCTCAATATCGCGTTTATTGCCTTGTACAGTGTCATTGTGAAAGCAATTTTAACGTAAAATGATCCGGCACTGCTCATTTCCACAGTGCAATACCTTTTTCACCGAGGTGGGGGTCAGTTTTCACCTATATCCAGTTGCCGGAGCGCTGAAAAAAGAGTGGCTGTCGAAGTTGATATCTGCGAAGGAGACTTCGATTTACGCATTTGCTTACTGTAACCATTTCATCACCAAAGATTTCAAGCCAATGATACGTGACAACCCTTATAAGCGGGCAAAGAACACTGGTTCCATATGTTTGGTGAGTGGCCCAGCTAGGATAAAGTACGCGTACGTGGAGCACGTTGATAGTCGCTCGCTGCTGGACAATGGGATCATCTTTAATGTGAGTCCTCCCGCTGCGGTGTTTTTGGACAGGCTGCGAATGCACTTAACTTATCACTGCGTGAGTATCCGACTTCTGAACCGTTGTATATCGTCAGTCCTACGAGCCCCCTTAACTATGACAAAGTAAGGAGACATCGACTGCAGCAAAAGTGACTCGCTCAGTGCCTGCGTGTACGTCGGACGCACCTGATTAATTCCCTTGAAGTTAGTTCGGTAGTACGCGGTAAGTAGGGCTGATGGAAAACAGGACATTCTGCCAAAGGAGCAAGAGGGACTATCGAGCCTAATGCATTGCTTGTTTACACTCCTGGAATTTTTACACTCCTCGTGACACAGGTTTCGTGCCACTTCGTTTGAAAGACGAAATTTTAACGGAAAATCACGCTACATGAAAGCGGCACGATTACATCTAAAGTTAACAGCTTACTAAAGACATGGGCGCAACGTACGAAGCTCAAGCTATACTTTTTCTGAAGTGACTGCAGCGCCTAATGCAAAACCCTTCGCGAGCTTGCAATTTTTGAAAATGACAAAACTAGCGACATATAAAGGCACGCGAATAGCTTCTTATTTTGAGGCCAGAATTCAAGTCTCTAGGATTCGAGAGAGTTAGCGGCCGCGAATAGGTTCCTATGCCTAATTTGCGAATAATCGGGATCGCAAAAATAAAGGGTTTTACATATGCAGAGTTTAAAATGTTCGGGAGGACAAATCGTGCGATTTCCACAAAGACGTTTCCGGAGGTTGGAGTTACAAACAATAGCTACGGAGCAGGGCAAGTGCACGAAAGTTCATCAATCGTTGCACCGTTCGCGAGTTTAAGATCCAAAGTGTGGGAATCCTTGCTGAGAGCCAACGACTGCAGCATGTAAAGCGCCGTTCACATATATGCAACCGAGTACGACCGAGATAGACTAGACCGGTTTTTAAGCTTCTTGCGACCTCTTAGGACCGGATTTGGTGCAGCGGAGCTGGTCCTAAGACGTCGCAAAAGGCTTAAAAAGCGGTCCGCTCTCTCTCGCTCGTACTCGGTTGCAAGACCTCGTCGCCGAGGTCGTTGGGGCCACAACGCTCAATAATGTGCCAGGCATTCCCAAGTTGTTCGACTTCGACAAGGGACCGCTTCATGACAGTACGCAATGGCACTGGAACTGAAACGAAGAGCCGCATCAAAATACCAACCGCAGTAGCAACAGTATTTTAGTATCCAGCTTGGTATTCCTAGCCTTCGCGTGTCTCCACGCTCGTGAAACGATACAATATTTTCTAAGAAGCAAGCATTCGCAACGTAAATAGCGCTGTTTACCCACAAACAAGCGTTCATTGTGGCGAGGATGCATGCTTCAAGGTGCGTTGAGGTCAGACGACGTGCGAAGGTATCCACACTCGCAGTGGTTCCAACATCGGCCGCACGGTGGCGACTGCGCTTGATCTCGGCCAATTAGCAAGAGCGGGATCACGGCCCTGAAGAGCTAAGCCCTGAAATCATTCGCGTCGGGCCCCAATTGGGCGAAGAGGGGGGGGAGGGGGGAAGGGGGGCGCTGTGAACCCGCATTCTGGTGATCCCGTAAACCCGCATTCCCGCGTAAACAACCGACGCATTCGAATAGAACCAGCTCGACGGCCCGGCAAGCCCGGCCGGTCTGGCTACGTCGCCCATGTCCTCCCCACCTCGCATGCTCACCATCGAGTAAAAGAAAATGACGTAGCGCGCTCGGCGCGCTTCTGTCAACTTCCGCCAAGCTCCCTATTATCGAACGCATCAAGTTCGGCGGGGTTGGGGGCACTGCACGGGGTTGACGCTGCCACGAATCTACAAGTGGAAGATTACCTACTCGAGCCGGATCTTGCAGCGGAAGAGGCTCGCTCTAAAAGGGGAGCTTTTGGAGCGATCAAAAGCAGCAAGTGGAATTCACCATTAGAGGAGGCACACGCCCCGCTTTGGGCGTTATAAGAGGCGACTCCGTCATGGCCCGTGAGGAAGCACGTTAGAGTCATTACGCCCCCATTGGAGTCTCCGTGTTCGTCGCCCCTATATCATTCCTCTCCGTCTTTCCTGTCCTTCTCTTCTTCCTGAAAAAAACAACAACAAAACATCCCCCTCTCTTTAGTACGCCCACTTTATCTTGAGGGTAATGTCAAGGCATCAAAGCGCTTACCTCACTCTGATGCGCCCTGATGCCCCAGTTTGACCCGGATATCGAACTTCGGGTTCTCAGGGAACGCACGCGCCCCACGTCCCTAGAATGGAAAGCACACGCCCCCCCCCCCCCCCCCCTCACGCTTCCACTCTCCCCTCTCGTGGCGCCACAGCTCCCCCCCCCCTTTCTTCGGGGGCGGCAGGGCCGGGACCCCTCTCCCTGGGTATGCGGCTGGAGTACACAGCGTCCCCCCCCCCCCCCCCCCCCCTCGAAGCTCTACCTTCCTTCCTTTTTGCTCTCTCCAAGGCTGAGGGGATATTCTCCAAGGGTGGCCACACGGCGCCGTTGAG